TACTAGGAGCAAAGGGCATCGCTACTAGGAGCATTCTTGCTTCTATTGACAAAAAGCTACTAGGGGCTCCTGGCCTTACTACTAGGAGCAAGTAGCTACTAGGAGCAAAGGGCATCGCTACTAGGAGCATTCTTGCTTCTAGTAACAGAAAGCTACTAGGGGCTCCTGGCCTTACTACTAGGAGCAAGTAGCTACTAGGAGCAAAGGGCATCGCTACTAGGAGCATTCTTGCTTCTAGTAACAGAAAGCTACTAGGGGAGGAAGAGGGTGTCCGTCTTCACAGTTTTTCCACCCGCCAGGTCCACGAAGTCGGAACCTCACCGGCTGCCCTTGGAGCCCCGTCCAGGTGGGGCCGGTGAACGGGAAGACTCGGAAAAAGGGCGGTGTCTTCTCCTCCAAGCTGTTTGGTTTCAAATCCATCACAAAGGTGAAGAGGGACTGGAAAACCTATCCACTAGATTCACTAGATGGCTTGAGCCAAGCCTTGGAGTTGGACTCTTGCGTGTTTACGGGTGAGAAAAACTGGCGCTCCTTTGATGCTGGACTGAGCTTCGAATCTGTTTTGGAAACCTCACAAGTGAGCTTTTCGGAAGTTGAGTGGCCGTCGAAGCAGTTAGCCGTCGAATCCAGGCAGTTCCTGCTGATTCATGGAAAGAGTTGCTTTGGGTCACTCCTTCTGATCGAACTAGGAACGACCTCAAAACAGCCAGCATAATAATACTGGATGATCACTCCATATTTTTGTTGATGTCTATATTTTTTCGTTTCTTGTTGTTTGGTTGTTTGTTTAGTTGTTTGTTTGTTTGGTTGTTTGTTTGGTTGTTTGTTTGTTTGGTTGGTTGGTTGGTTGGTTTGTTGTTGTTGTTGTTTTTAACCCACCCTTACTTATTTAGTAGGCGCCTACTTAATTAAGTAAGGGAGTAGTTCGCTACTAGCAATAGGATGCTCCTAGCTAGGAGGCAGGGCTTCTTCAAGGAAACTCCCCCCACGAATGATTCGGTTCCTAGATGTTTAGGGAAACATAATGTCTTTGGTGAGATGACCTAAAAGATCACTGGTTTCTTCCATCCCATTTCCAGGTGTGCTTTCGCTTCAAGACATGGCAAGACACAAAAAACGCAAGGCTTACAGTGCTTGGTTTGCCCCGGAAGGCCAACCCTAAGTGAGGAAGCGTTGCAATCGCCTGCAGTGCAGCGGGCGATTGGCGGTTAGCCGGTTAGCCGGGCTGCCGGTGCATACGGTTTGATGAAACGTGAGTAAACAGCACTGCATAACAGTATTTTGATGTGTTTATTGTTTCCTAAAAAGAGGTATTGAAGTTAGCTGTGACCTTCCTGACTGGGATTATTTTGTTCGGTGTGTCACTTATGTTGCAGGGATGATGAATAAGGGATGACCAGTTCTTCTTAACAAACAAATAAGAGGCAAGGAACATCAATGATTCTTGGAAACGGTGTGTTTAATCCCCTGTTGAACCGGGTAGGCAGGACATATTCTTGTTGTAGACAGTGAATGTGGATGTCTATCACAACTCAAGCATGCTTTGGATCTTTGGTAATGGATGTCATCCAGCTCACTGAATCAACACATGTCACCGCTCACTTGTTGGTACCTCTTGTGGTTTCTCCTTGGCATTGAAAGATCCCATTGTTGTAGACGCTGAAGGTTCCAGGTGCAGATGTTCTGGGACGGAAGAAATCCTGCACCACCTGGCAAAGAGAAAAACGACAGGCTTTTGCTGCATAAGGTCTCCAACCTAATGGCGATGGCCTCCAACCTAAGAGCAATGGACTCCAACCTAAGAGCGATGGCCTCCAACCTACTAGCGCTTTGCTGCATCTGCAGATGTGTGTTTTTCGCAGCCCAGCTGAGTTGCTGTGATGCGAACGATGACGCTCCTGTGGCTGACGTTGACAAACGGACAGGGCGAAGAAAAACCTCAGCCAAAGCTCCATGGAACTCGGTGGTTCATCAGGCCACGTCTTTTAGCCCGCCCTTTCTCAATTAAGTAGGCACCTACTCAATTAAGTAAGGGCAGGATAGCACCTGCTGTAGCTACTACCTACTGGACGCAGCTCACGCTTCATTTGGGTCTAGATCTTTTTGGGAAACTTACTGACTTATTGGTAACTGCTTTGAGATGCAATATTGACTTCACGCGAGTGGTCGTCCATCGCAGATTCGAAACAGGAAGTGGAGTGAAAAGTCTTTGCTTGGTATTTGGAACCTCGTAGTTCCAAGCGGCATTCCCCAAATTATGATCGTTTGATACAGGGACAGCAGAGGTTGCGTTCATGTTTTCTAGTGCCTTTTTCTCCAGCAGCATTCTTTGGGTGTCACATGAGTCTGCTTTTGAGATAAGTCGAGTGCTCCAAGACAGTGAACGCCTTGGTGGTGAATCTCATTGAGTAGCCTTTGGTCCCCTAGTTTTCTATTTGTCCTTCAAGCAGAGAGCAATTCTGAGTCTACCTGGTGTAGACAACACAGATCTTTTTACCAGTACCATCTTAGTGTTTGCAACTGAAGTTTGGAGCCACAGCTCTTGACCCCAAACAAACAACTAGTAACAAGTGCATCGCTATTAGGAACAGCTGCATCGCTACTTGTAACAAGTAAGCTACTACTAGTAGCTTCTAAGCCGCTAGTAAATGGGGCACTCTCAGTGCTGTTTGGATCCAAATTCGCTCGCTTCGAAGCCCAGTGGAGCGGTCATTCGCTGTGCACGGCCCTCGTCTTCGGCGCCTTGAAGGGGCGGTCGACCGCGAGCGCTGTGTTAGTGCCGGCATCCTGTGGCCATGGGCCGTGCTTGTGGTTCAAAGAATCCGTGCTCCCCGAAGTCAAACCCAAACGGGACGAAATTCGATATCATGTCCGCTGTTCAAAACGCCTCAAGCAGTCGTCGTTTTGGTGCTTCAAAAAGAAAGAGCACGTCCAGCTCACCCTCTCCGGTTGAAAACATCTCGCTCCGTGGAGCATGAGGTGCGGAGCCATTTTTTGCTCGGCCCTTGACCCTCCGTTGGCGCCTACTTAATTAAGTAAAGGAGGAAGCTACTTGTTCGCTACTGCCTGGACGCAGGAGAGCTCACGCACTCTTCGTTTGGTTCCTGGGTTTTGAGGGGAACTTCCTGTTCTTGTTCCTTTTCCTTTTCTGTTCTTAAATGGTTTTTGTTTTCCTTTGAGACCTTTGTTTCTGTCTTTCTTCAGAACCCATGGCCACGGGCGTTAACGACCGCCGTAGACACGCCAAGACTGGGGACCTTGCGGCGGGTAGACCAGATAGACCCCATCGATTGGAGGAAAAGAGAGCGAAGTCATGGAGTTCTTTTTCAAGTGGAACCTATTTGCGATGGCCTCCACCCTAGTAGCTTCTTGCTACTAATAGGAATGGCCTCGATGGATGGCCTCCACCTAATAGCGTCCTTGTTAGTTTGTAAATGTTCTTCTTGTTCAATCTTGCTTTTCTTTCTGTTCTTTCTTTTTTCTTTGGGCCTCGCAGGAGCATTTTTGAGGGCTGCCCAGTTACAGGTGACCCTCAAGGGTTTTCCTTTAGTTCGGATGGCGTTGGCCTTTTCGGTCATAAATCATGCTTTGGTACCCTCACGGGGGGCATGGACTCCTTAATCCTCAGAGTCTTTCCTCAGCTGAAAACATCGTCCTGGGCTGAAAAGACAAAGAGTCTCGATCATGGAGTGAAATAAACAGAACGGTGCTGGGCCTAGAGGTGCATGACCCTGAATGAGACCTGACATCTGAATCTATGTAAATCAAAGGTTCTTTGGAATCCATTTCCTTGAAGGAGGCTTTTCTCATCGCACATGGTCGCGGACGAGCTCTTTTGGCTTTCAGCACCGCAGCCACCAACGGTACAAATCCGAATATGACCCGAGAGAAGACACACGAGCTTATCGTTTGTTTGACTTGTTTATTTTTCTCTCTTTTCAAGAGCAGACAGGACTCAGAACCACCTTCTAAGCCAAATCTTGGATCAAGAAGCCTTAGCTGAGAGAACACCCTCTTCGTGCGACAATGGGCCGGATTCTCCAAAAGACCCCAGTCAAAATCAGCGACGGGCCAGCAAGCCCACCGAAAGTGAGCCGTGGATGAAGCCTGTGCTGGGCCATGGGTTGGCCGATCCAACTCCCCCGAGCTTTACCTGTCGGAACATCGCTGTCCTCTCGATAAGATGGAATCCTGGAATCCAGAGAAGCCACCCTTTGCAACAAACCGAAAGCATTTCAGCTGCCCCTCCTTTGGGATTGAATCTGTTTGGAAAACGAAGAGAATCCCAAGCAGAAGGTTCAACTAGTAACAAAGGGCATCGCTACTAGGAGCAAGGACGCTACTAGGGGCTCCTGGCCTTACTACTAGTAACAATAAAGCTACTACACACTGAAACATCCTATCTATCACATTCCTAACTGCCTGCCCCTCCTCGGCTTTGGGAGCGCCATGCGCCGCCGCAACGACAGCCGCGCGCCGCGAACGCGGAGTGCACGGCGAACGCCGAGAACGCCTCGAGTTCCGCGGACCAGAAGGCCTGGGTTTGATGCCTATTAGCAATGGCCTCCAACCTACTAGCTTCTTGTTACTAGTAGTACTGCCAGGAGCCCCTAGTAGCGCCCTTGCTCCTAGTAGCGATGCCCTTTGTTACTAGTAGCTTCTTTGTTTCTCCAAAAGAATTGGTTTCTCCGAAAGTTTCGTGAAGGTCTATTTTCCAGCGAGAAACTGGATTGGCTCATCAATTCTCATGGTGTCCAAACAATTTCTGCTTCTCCCTTCCTTCGCCCCAGGTTTCAAGCTTGGGCAGGCCATCCAGGTTTCAAGACCCCAAGACCCCCTCCCCTCTTTGAAGTCTTTGAAGTGTTAAACTCAGAGAAAATGAGGCTCAATTTGGAATCTGACCAACCAGAAGTTGGGAGTTGGAAGTTGCTGTTTTGGTTGTGCTTTACATAAGAACACAATCCCTAGCCTTCAAAGACCATTAAAAGAAGTGTTGACCTGGTGGTGTAGTGTAAAAATCCTTAGTAAAACAAGGGTTCTTTGCCAGTCAGACCATTGAAACAATGGTTGTTCGAATCCTGGCGGACATCTTGCCCACATTCAGGCGTCCCAGGTCGCGCCGGCCCAGATCGCGCCGTCCCTCGCCCTCTCCCAGATGGGCGCGGTCCGACAGCAACTCGACGGGGTCAAGTGGATCTCTGGATGTCTCTAGTCTTTCTGTAATTGCTATGCACTTGTTCCTAGTAGCTTATTGTTACTACTAGTAAGGCACTTGTTACTAGAAGCGATGCACTTGTTCCTAGTAGCTTCTTGTTTCTGGAGAGGTTTTGTTCGACTTCAGAGGGTTTGTGGAACTCTCTTTTGCCGTAGCAAGCACGCTAGGTTGGTTGGAGGCCATCGCTGGAACAAGAAGCTACGAACGTATATAGCTAGAAGCTTCCTTGGGAATCGTTTCACCTGTACTTAGCTTCCCATCCGTTGAGAGGCTGGCATTGAGTGCAGCCGAAGGGGCACGCTTGGTTGCTATGACCTGGTAAGACAGGCATGGCTGGATTTCTCTTGACTTGGAAGGGTACAATCACCACATCCTCGACCCCCAAGACACCTTGGCTGGATTCTTTTGGATGCTTTGGACCCTTTGCCAATGCATTTTGGAGGTTTGAACCTTCCTGGAAAATGTCTTCAGCATCATTCTTTCAGCATCGTCTCCCAAAGGTTCCCTTCTGTTTTTTTCACAGCTTTAGCTCTAGCATAGCTTATTATTACTAGTAGCAAATTAGCTACTAATAGCGATGCTCCTGCTCCTAGTAGCGATGCACTTTGTTCCGTTCGGACGTGCCCCCCGTGGTCCCAGGCCGCGGCAGTTCACGTGACAGCCGCCCACGGCGCGCGCGCAGCTTCGCACCGCGGCGCGCGCGGCGGCGCCGGGAGGATTCGCGAGGAGCCAGAAGTGCAGGCGAAAATGGGACTTGCTTTCAGTGGTTCTTTTTTCAGATGGAACTCCGGTCTTCTTAGGTGTTTCTTTCAGTAGCTTCTTGTTTCTAATAGCAAACATTGTTACTACTAGTAAGGCACTTGTTACTAGAAGCGATGCACTTGTTCCTAGTAGCGAACCTTGTTGATATGCCGTTGGGGTCTCACATGGGAACAGGATTGCGACCACCGCCTTTCAAAGGCTCCCAGACGAGATCCAAGCCGCTCTTCACGGACCTGGCCTATCGAAGCCGCGACGACTTGGACCTCTACAACGACTTCTGCGAGGAGGTTCGGAGTTTGTTCGGAGTTCGACGCAGCAGGAGGGAGCTGGAGGGGAGCTGGAGGGCTGTCAGCGATGCTGAGCGAGCAGGCACGCAAGATCACCGAGTGAAGGAGACTGGAGGATATTAAATTCTATATATCTTTTGTTTCTAATAGCTTCTTGCTCCTAGTAGGGTTGCCAGGAGCCCCTAGTAGCGTCCTTGTGAGATTATGAAGTTTCGTTGGAATTTGAGGGGTGTGAAGGGATCCTTGATTGATGATATTTTGCCTCGGTCTATGCTTCATTTGGGACTGGGCTTGGGGTTCTTAGCAAGAATCCAGCTAAGTTGACATGCTGCTTGGCCAGCTGGCACATTTCGGACATTTCTTTGTATGAACTCATTTCCTGACATTGGCCATTGACTCAACTGAACCGGAGAGGAGTTTTTGTTTGAAGAGTTGGAAGAGTAATGCACTTGTTCCTAGTAGCTTCTTGCTACTAGTAGTCATGCACTTGCTACTAATAGCGATGCAGTTGCTAATCCTGTTGACATCTGCTGGCCCCACCCGGCCGCCAGGTCGGCATCCGTGGTCGCCGCTGGGCCCAAAGCACATCGACGTTCCGTCGGTCGAGAACGACCAGCACCAGGGGCACCGGGGCCCTCCAGCAGGTCGAAACCCTTTCCTTCTCCGCGTCGAAATCGGCCAAAGTCCTTGAAGCCCCTGGCGGAGCGTTGGAGGTTTTCAGAAGCAGATATTCAACAAGAACCGTGGAACAGTCTCACTTGGTTCTTCAAAGTGAAGTCCTCTGGGCCTAAGTGACCTGTTTGGGATCTGAGTGATGACCTCAAACTGGGCCTAACAAGGCAACTTTGAAAAACCTAGTATGTAACCACCTGCTGGACTCTCTTACAAAAGTGCCAAGACCACCAGTAACAAAGCAACACCCATGTTGATCCCAACCATTGCTGTTTTGCCTTTGCGGTCGCGTTTCCAAGAAAGTGAGGTCTCATCGCGAAGATTCGTGGGATGATGCAGCCGCTCGATCGCACTGTTTCACGGGCGCGCCAGAGCATCCACGTAAGGCAGAAGCATGTGGAACGGTCGGTCAGGTGGTAAGGATGCAAATGTGTTTTTTTATACGATTGATTGTTAAGGTACTGAATAGTATATCAGGTCAAACATCAATATAACCAGATTTGGGATACTCCAAGCTCGAGGTTCAAGTCGCCTGTTCATCCTCCCGGACCGGTCCTCCGGTGAACGGGCCGACCCGGTTGCCACGTGGGGCGTGGCGGTCTTGCGAGGAACATGGAGCGGGACGACCTGGCACGTCTGCTGGAGCCCTCGGAGGAGCACCCGGTGGGCACGGAGGATCGGAGGTCCCTTTTTCAAGGGAAAGCGGGTTGGGGTGCGGAAAGTGACGATACAAGACGTGAAGATATGGAGACTTCAGGCAATCAATCTTCAAGATATGTGGACTTTGAGCTTCTCATGTGGGGATGTGTCCGGGATGTGTCTCACAGGGGAATTGCCATTCACACAAACTTGAAAAATCGAACAGGCCAGATCTGGATGCTGATCTAGCAATGGCACAACTGGCGTTGACCCTGTTCGTCCATTCTATGCGTTGTATGCACTTCTGAACCTTTCTCTGTGTTTGATCGCCGCCCATGATCAGTACGAACTGCAAGAAGATCACGAGAAACTCATGGCTGGGCTGGAAAGCTCCAAAGGAGAGAACTGCAGAACCTCAATGGGATCCACCTCGGAAAGCATGTTCGGAGTACCAAGAAGTCATTGCTTGGCTGGTTTCTTAGGGAAGGATCATCGGTATGGTCCTAGGATTCCAAGGAATCCAACAACGGTCCACACAAGCAAATCTGGACCATCAGAACCAGTGACGTTTTTCGTCTCTTGGAAATCCAGTGTAATTTGCTTCGTCTCATGATCTCCGTCCTTGTTCGCCCGTCGAAAGCGTTTGGGTTTTCCTTCAGATCCAGAACGGTCCCCGGTTTTCAGGTGGAGAACTAGCTTCCTTGCTCCGTTCGTAGCGATGCTAGGAGCCCCGTTCGTAGCATCCTTCTTTCAGGTGGAGAACATCAAAAGGGCACAGAACCCGATTGGCATGGCCATCAACCGGATCCGCACCATCGAGCGTGAGTCCGGACGGCCCAAGGCGAGGCGGGCACATCCGTCGAAGTCGGTGTTCGGCTTCGTTTGAGCTCGGTGGGTGGGACGGACCTGGGCGCTCCTGCGCCGTTTTCTTCACCTTTTCTTTTGCCGTTTTGGAGGATGTACTTGGTTTGAAGGGCTTGGTGGAGACCCCCTGGACTCCATTGAAGTGGATGATTGGGAAAAAAACAAGAGCGTGGAGCAGTCGCACTGAACACGTTCAGAGTGTTTTCAGTGATACTTATGGACTCACCCTGCTGGTGGGTCGTAGGGCTGATGAGAGAATCGATTCAACAAATCATGCAGGTTTGAGGCAGGCTCCATTGGGACTGACGGCATTCTGATCTTCAAGTGTCAACAGCTCCTCGCTCCACCCATCCATCAGCGCCCAGAGCTGGGTGCAGGAGATGAAGCAGCGAAAAGGTCAAGGAAAAGGCTCCCGTCAGGACAGGGCCTTTGAGGGCTCACGGGGAAAGCTAAGCGTGGAACGCAAGTCGGTCGCAACTCGAAGCTCTTGGAACTGCCGAAGAGACCTGCGTCAGCGCCAAACTCGCAACTGCCGAAGAGACCTGTGAGCTAGCACAATAAAACCTGCTTGGCCAGCACTGGGCCACTGTCCACTCTTAGGTATTCAACCACCAAGCATTTTGTTGTCAGTCACTCAAGGTGGCATCACTGGTGGTGGCAATCATGGCCAGAGAACGAAACCAAACTGGACGAACCAGACATCGACCGCGCTATTCTAACTGGGGTGAAGTTTTGGAAGTTGAGATGTATGTAATGGAATGTATTGTATTGTAATGGTAATGTAATGTATGAGAACATGAAAGCTGCTACCGTGGAACACTTCGCATCATCCTATCCAAAAGCATGATGTACGCGTCTCCGCGTGTGTGGCACACCTCGCAGGAGGAGAAGAGTGCTGCCGAGGCGGTGAGAAGGCGCATTTGGCGAAGAGAACCACCTCCGCTTGGGAGTCAATCGAATCGAGGAAATTGAAGGTGGATAACAAATGTGCCCAAAGAGGAACAGAAAGTAAGAAAAGAAAATGTCTAAATCCGCCCGCACTGGAGGTGCCGAGGGCGTTGTGTAGGCTCGTGTGCATCCACATCGCAAGGAATCCGGCCAGATAAATCCTAAGCTTTAGCCTGGGCGGGGCATTTTTCTCCTAGAAATGCTGTGTTTTTCAAGTTTTGTTTGAAAATTGATCAAAATTGGACTAGACGTTGGTGATGCCGGTTATGCCGATCGAACCAGATCGCATATCTGACATCACAGACGTCTCGGTAAGCCAATGGATACTGCACTATGGATATGCGATGCCGGTTATGTCGGCCGGGGAGAGTCGTTATAGACATCGCAGAAATCATAAGCGTCGAGATAAACGTGGGATACTGCATGATATCGTGGATGTGTTCGGTGGACATCGCAGAAATCGCAAACGTCTAGGCAAGCCGCAGGATACTGTATGATTGATATCGTGGATGTGTTCGGTCGTGTGCCCAGTCCGACTGGATGAGGTGAATGGTATTGAGCATGTGGTTTTTGATGTTTTTTGGGGGGAACAATCGCATGTGGTTTTTGACACAGAGACAGACAGAGACAGACCCAGACAGACCCAGACAGACAGAGACAGACAGAGAGACCGACCAGACCCAGACAGATCTAGACCCAGACAGACACAGAGAGACAGACAGACACAGAGAGACCGACAGACACACAGAGACAGACCAGCCAGCCAGCCAGCCACCCAGCCAGGCAGGCAGGCAGACAGACAGACACCCAGACCGACCGAGACAGACTATTGACATCGTGCGTGTGTTCTTCCGTGTGTCCTGCCCGAACAAGACAGGCAGACAGACCGAGACAAACAGACGCACACACTCCCAAACAGACGCACACACTCCGTGCGGGCGGCTTCGTGCGCGAAGCGCTGTGAATACAAAAGATCACCAATACATTAACTAGCTAACTGACTAACTAACTAGCCAATTTTGGTTGACTGGCCGTGTCAGCGGCAGTTTTTTGGACGGTCGATCAGCTCCTGTGCGGCTAGGAGCCGAAGCCGCAGTGCTCGGAGCAAGGCTGGCTTCGCTGATCGCTAATGTAAGGTGTTTCTTCCAAAGGCTTCAATATTTTTCAAGGGGCTCCTGGCCTTACTCCTAGGAGCAAGAAGCTACTAGGGGCTCCTGGCCTTACTACTAGGAACGAGGACGCTACTAGGGGCTCCTGGCCTTACTCCTAGCTACTAGGGGCTCCTGGCCCTACTACTAGGAACAAGGACACTACTAGGGGCTCCTGGCCTTACTACATTATCATTATAGCACAGCTGTTGTAAAGTTGTTTTAGGTCAAAGTATTACTGTAGGATACGGTAGGTGTTTTCATGTTGATTTCACATCACGAATCATTAGCTCAGATCCAGGGCGCTTTACGAACCTTCACGATGCGCTGGCGCCCTATTAACAAAAAATCTAAGAATGTCAAAATCAATATGCCTTATTCCACAACCAACTCATGCGGGATCAGCAGTATGATGGTGATGTCCAGTTTTCTCGGGCTACGGATGACTGGCAACAGATTCCCAATAGATTCAATGGTGTCTTGAAGTCAGTAGTGCTGCTAAGCAAAAAGATACTTTTGAACAGTACTGAATTGAAGAATGCTCTCCGACCAGTCTTCCCTCAGTCTTCCCTTTTTCTTCCACACATCCTCCAAAGGCCGATCGACCTCGTCCATTCATTTCCCACTTCCCGGGTGCCATGACCCACATCTCCGTCTCACACCAGGCCTCTTGACTGGCCAAGGCGTCGTCGAGTTTGGTGAGAAAACTGAGGGAGACAGACCACGGATACAGAGACCAAGATGAGCTGCAGTTTGGTTTTACTGGTGCACGAATCCGTTGAATAACACCCTGCTCGACCATGTAAAGTTCCTGGGAAACTTGATCGACTAGTTATCGTAGAAGGGGCTTGCTCCAAATATTTCAAAGGGATCCTTACGATATGAGCGCTGGCCTCCAACCTAATAGCAACGGCCTCCACAAATACTTCTAATTCTATGTTTTAAGTGAAGGACTACCGGTTAGGTGAAAGGCCAGAAACTGCCAACTCTGTAGCCTTTCCACGTCCCATGCTGTCCTTTCCATGACTTGTCCAAGCCCCTAGTAGCGTGATGTTCCTAAAAGCGATGCCCTTCGCTCTTGGGTTGAGGCCATCGCTCTTAGGTTGGAGGCCATCGCTCTTGGGTTGGAGGCCATTGCTAGCAGGTTGGAGGCCATTGCGAGTAGGTTAGAGCCCAATTGCTCTTGGGTTGGAGGCCATCGCTCTTAGGTTGGAGGCCATTGCTAGTAGGTTGGAGGCCATTGCTAGTAGGTAAGAGGCCATTGCTCTTGAGTTGGAGGCCATCGCTCTTAGGTTGGAGGCCATTGCTCTTGGGTTGGAGGCCGTCGCTCTTAGGTTGGAGGCCATTGTTAGGTTGGAGTTGGAGGCCATTGCTCTTGGGTTGGAGGCCAGCGCTCTTAGGTTGGAGGCCATTGCTAGTAGGTTGGAGGCCATCACTCGTAGGTTGGAGGCTATTGCTAGTTTGCTAGTAGGTTGGAGGCCATTGCTAGTGGGTTGGAGGCCATCGCTCTTAGGTTGGAGGCCATTGCTCTTGGGTTG